GCTTAAATGTCTCACCTCTTCTTTCAGGATACAAGTCATAACCCCATTCTTTGGTTTTGCTGTTATTACTTACACCATCATCATTTGTTGACCCTGAAGATGTTGCCTTCGTGACCTCAACTGGATCCTCTTCTGGCGCCCCCGCTTCAGCTTTGGTAAACAAACCCATTTCAAAAAGGACCGTCACGAATTCAGTATATTTGATGGAAGTTAAATAACAACGCAAATTAGAGCTGGGATACTATCAATAGTATCGATAGTTGAAAACTGTCACCATTATCGATGGTTTTTGAAAACTATCGATGTCGATTTAGCGAAACTTCTCTCTTTACATTTCTTAGGGCCGTTTGCACCATGTCTAGTTAATTCTAAAGGCTCTGTTATGCATACTTGGCATTGCTTGAGAGTTGTCACATAAGGAATCTGTTAAATGAGCTTCGCGTGTAAGCTGTTACCCAACGCACAGCACTACATACGTAAAAGTCTGTTGGTTTTTGATTTCTACGTAAAAATGGTATAGCAGTGCATGCAATGCCAAGTATGCATAACAGAGCCTTAACTCCCAGTTAAACATCTTTATCGACGTTATCAACACCCATCATATAACATGTGATCGATAAAGCAGTTAACGTGCTTAACTGAAGGATGTACCTCCAGTTAGCGTTAACTAGACATGGTGCAAACGGCCCTTAACATTACATTAATTTTTTTTTATCCAAGATAATTCACGGCTGGGGTTTAGTAGCGCTCACAACTATTTCGGGCTACTCCGTACAAAGGGGTGGCCCGATCCAAAAACTTATAGTCAAGGGTCCACGCATTATTTTAACACTCACTTTTGTAAATTTTGGTCACGGTAAAAGTGCACTTTAGCGAAGGTAGGTCAAAATGGGCGGAAAAAGTTCGAGAGTGGTATCAATCGACGCGTCTTAACGCCAATAATAACAATCCGAGACCGGAAATTAATTTTTTTAATTAATTAATGAATTATTTGCAAAAAACACTTGCGCTTTCCGCATTATGTTTTGATGAATTTCACGCAAATGAATGGAATAAATGAAGTTAATTTAACACGTATTTATTAGTTGTTATACATTTGTGATGTTTTAAGTGTACACTTTAGCGAAATTCTGTATTTTTTTTTTTTTTTTGGGATTTGAGCAGGTTGGCCGGTTTACAGTGTAAACCACCGCCAGGTCATTCCTCTGATTTCAAATGTAATCATCCCAACTGCTGTGTCCAACGCTGCTCCACTGCTAATTATATGGTAATGCCAGAGGCCAGAACCACATGCAACAGTTTCTGCTTGCTCAAGCTTTTGATCTCTGTTAGTATTGTTGTCGAAATTGCACTATACCCCTTGTCGTCTAGAATGACAGTCCTGCTGTCATCATGTACTTAATGTTGAAGCGATCTGTTCTTTAACAGTTTTTAAATTTATAGCGAAAGGTTGGATGTGTTGAGTTAAATCCAATTTAAGCGCCTGCGATGCAATGAAACTCATTTAAACGAGGAGACTTTGTGACGTGGGACATCCAAATAGTACGAATTGATGATTTTGCCTGGGCATGAATCACGTATGACGACAATCGTCTGGTCGATATCGTGCTGAGATTGTCTTGTTTCATGAAAACCAAAAATTGGTGGATCGTTTGGTCGATATCGTCCACTCAATTCCAGTTTTGCTTCACGTAACAGTAACAGTAGCACGTAACAGCAAAACAAATACATGAATCAGTGTTTTGACGACATCGTTTTGTCAGTATCGTTTCAACGACAATCGTTTGAAAGTTACGTGATTCATGCCCTGGTAGACTGCATCGGGTAGCTGGTTCCATGCAATGGATGGCTCTTATGCCGTAGTTGTGTGATTTACACAAGGCTTGCGTGACTTTGCGCGCGCGGATTGACAGGGTTTGAGCGCAGTGGGTACGGATTGCTGTAACTTAAAAGTTATTGCATACATACATAATAGTTGAAATGAGGGGGTTGATTATGAAAATGATTTTTTTTTTTAAGTTAAAATTGGCTTTTTGAAGAAATTTGGATAGTTGTGTAATCTTGGCATTATTGCTTTCTCTGAAAATGTCTAAAAAGGTTTCGTGGTTCTGAAAAATCTCGTAGCTAGATCGGAGATTCGTGAGCCCTCTACATTGAAAGGTCCGGTGCACATAACCGTCAGTTTGTCCACAAGAGCATTGATTCGTGTCTATTGCTCGAATTTGGTAAAGATAAGCCCTGTCATACGTATGGCCGGATAGTACGCGGTTAAGTCTTTTAACTCCAGCAGGGGGCAGCAGCAGTTTCCTGAACCACGTTGTCTCTTTTCTCATTGGGAAAGTAGAGGCAAAGAGGTTTGGGTGCTCGTCTGAGTAGGCTTTAAAGGTCTCATACCAGTTTGTGAAAAGATCGTTTTTTAGTTGCCTGAGGGCTTCGTCCATGGTAAGTTTACAATTCCTACTGGGACTAGTTGTCGTTGCATTTTTTGCAATTTCGTCCGCCTTTTCGTTCCCTGGTATACCTTTGTGGCTTGGCGTCCACACAATGTCTGTTATAATGTTTAGCTCGGAAAGTTTCCTAATAATTCTGCAGGCAATGCTGTTTGTAGGTTGAGGTTTACCAAGAATTTGACATGAGCTCAGACTGTCCGTGAAAATTATTAATTTTCTGACCCCCTTTCTACTTGCAATTTCGATGGCCTCCTCGATCGCAAGGAGGAAGAAGTTTTGAATGGGATATGAAAGGCATGTTCAGATTTGTCCGCAAGGTCATAAACACCACATCCAGTCCTTTGGTCGGACAAGGAAGCGTCAGTGTACATCACCTGGAAATTATCAGTCAGGTAGTTGGTTAATAAGCTGGCATGCTGCGCTCTTACACTTACCGCCGTGGTGGATGCCTTGTTGCCTGTAAAAACTTTGTCGACGATTTTTACATTGGGGGAAAGGGAACACCGGTCAATCTCATCAAGACAGTCAAGAATATGCTGGTATTGTAGATAGACCATCGAGTAGCTTGATTTTATGTTCGGATTTGAGATAATAGAGTCTGAAATCGGGTCCTTGTAGGCAAAGATTTTCACCAGCTCTTTTGCTGTGAGCCATTTTGCACGTTCTGCAGGTGGTAACTCATTTGCAAGGGCGTAAATGATGGGGACAGGAGTTGAAGGAGTGAGACCGAGACACCTTCTTAAGAATTTGTTTTGCAGCACTGATATTTTATTGAAAGCTGTCTTAGAGCTATTAGCGGCCGTAGTGTAACCGTACTCAATTTTTGACCATACCATTGATTTATAGATATTTAAGGCTTTCTGAGGATGTAAACCTGACTTAATATTGGTTAGGTACTTAAAAAATTTAATTTTGCTAGACGCGGCTTGAACAGTAGCGGTATAGTGGCTATTGCTAGTCATTGCCATATTTAAAGTTCTTCCTAAAATTTTGACTTCGTTAACTTGTATCCTACTACTACTAACAAGGATGTCTATTGCCTTTTTCGACCCTTGAGAGATGTGCATAACATTCGTTTTAGAGGGATTGAACATTAAATTGAGACGGTTACATTTCGCTACAAACAGACTCAATTTGGACTGCATATTATTGACTGCTTCCTCAAAATTGTTCCCTGCAGAGATAAGAAAAAAATCGTCTGCAAACTGATAAATGTTGGTGTTGCAGTCGCCCAGATTGTGAAGCTTCGCAGTGTAAATGTTGAAGAGGATGGGGGATAACACACTACCTTGAGGTAGACCGTTTTGAATTTGTGTGACCTTTTCGCCCTGAAGAATTCTGAAAGAAAGGAAATTTATAATCCAGTCAACATAAAGGCTTTCTATGTGCAAGCTCATGAGTTGATTTTTAAGAATATTGACATCAACACAATTGTAGGCATTGGAGACATCATAGGTGCAAAGAATTACTTGCTTTTTGTTACTTTTTTAAAGCTGTATTTGATGGATTAGTTGATTTAAACAAACTGAGGTGGACTTATTTTTCCTGTATGCAAAAGTAGAGTGAGGGAGGATGCTATTCGTTTCAATAAACTCATTTATTCTGTTTTTAACGCACGTGTTTATAGTTTTTAGCATGACCGAAATAAGTGAGATCGGTCTGAAATTTTGGTAGAGACTTAAATCCTTACCCTTTTTAGGTATTGGAACAATCTTGATTGTTCGCCAATGCTAGGGGATCTGATTTGTTAAAAAATTGTCATTAATAGCATTAAGTAGCAGTTAATTGTCTGATCCGATAGCGCCTTCAGCATACCATATGAAATTCGATCCACTCCCGCAGCTGTGTCTTTCTTTTTGCTCAGCACCTCCTGAATCTCCTCGTAGGTGATCGCCAGCTCATGACATGGCTGAACAGATTATTGATCTCCTCATTGGACGGTTGTGCGGCAACCTGCTCCTTCAGCATGTCTAAATATAGCTGGTTGTTTTCTTCGTTCCATAGACCCTTACAATCTTGACTATAATCCCCCCTCAACGACCTCACAAACCGCCAAGCTCCACTACCCATACCCTGATTTATCTCCTCTATTTTGCTATTGAAATTATCTTTTTTTGCTCTTTTTGCCTCCTTCTTCCATGTTTTTTTGTTGCTCGATGAGACTTTCCATGTTTTCCGGACTTGGACATTGCTTGACTTTTTTAAAGGCAATAATGAGAAATCTGTAAACCTTGGCTAAGTTATCATTCCACCAGGCTTTTGGTGATCTATTGTTTTTGGTATTAAAGGTCGCCTTATCGATTTCCTCTTGTATTCTGGACTCCAACGCTTGGACATTTGACTCACACTCGACCCCTCTCAAAGCCTCAAGGAGTTTTCTTTTGGCTGTGAACTTCGTTATGTTTTTCACGATTGCATTCGTTTCCACGATTATAGGGAAGTGGTGACTTCCACCAATATGCGTTTGGTCCACTGACCATTTGCACCGCATAGTGCTGTTAGTGAACGTCAGATCAAGCACAGAGCCACCTGTCGATCTCATGTCCCTTTTATAGGTAAGGCTGCCATCGTTAAGACTATGAAAAAAGGATTGTTGGATGGTGTTAGTCAAATGTTTGCCGCGATTGGAGTCCACACTATCACCCCAGGCCAGGGCTCTAGCGTTGAAATAGCCCATCATAAAAACATTATTAAACGGTTCCAGAAACAGTAATATCCTATCCATTTCATTGTTGAAATCCCTAATACTGAGGTTGGGTGGAAAGTATGCGCTACAGATGACAATATTAGGGTTGAGATTTTTAGT